GAACATTGAGGATGACCACAGTGCTGGCTCTGTAAAGAACAGCCATTGTGTGCTTCTGCCCAGTGGAAGAAAAAGAACAGAGGGCGGAATTCAGAGGCAGCAGCTGAAGGATGGGGATGAAGCACGTTCTCCCCCTTGCGCCTCCCTGAGGTTGAGAAGAGACTGTGGTTTCTAAACGAGCATTCACTAGGGAGTGAACCAAGACAAGGAGAGACTCAGTGGGGTTGGCATAAAGGAAGATTTCTTCCTTTCTAAGTGAAATGTGAGGGTCATTTTTTTTCTTAGAAGATGGCTGTGATTCAAGTCAGGTCCTCTGGCCAAATTCTAAAACCCAATTCTGGGTGAATACAGGATTTAGAAACACTCGATATATTGTAGAGCTGCAAAAAGAAAGACTTGCCATTAGCAATGGTGTCTTTGCAAAATCATTTGCAAAGAAAGAAAATCCCACACAGATGAAGGAGTGGAGACACTTAGGCCAGCCATCAGCCAATTCTTGGCAACTGAGGTGAGGAAAGTCTGCACTAATAACCCTTGCCCCAGAGTAGTGTTTCTTCAAGTGTGCTTCCCAGATCATCAGCAGCAGACCTGCAAAATTGTTAGAAATGCTAATTCTTGGGGCTTTCCTTAGACCTACTGGCCTGGAAGCTCTGGGGATGGGGCCCATCGATCTGTTTTCACAACTTCTGGGGATTTCAATGAACAAGGAAGTTTGAGAGCTATAGGTTTATAAGACACAGTCTGCCTCCTAAGGTGCATAGCAAATGGCATTTCTTTCACCAAGAAACTGTTCTTTAATGCTGAGGACATTCACTGCATGTGATAGATTATGTGTGATAGATGATCCTGGTATATGTCCTCTGTGAATTAAAATAGTCATTCAAATAGTGTTTGGTGTTCTGTGGTTGAGTCCCCTGTGATAGTTTTGTTGCGGTCCACAGATAAACTATTCAGTCACTTGGTTACAGTGATACCCCACTTTAAGGAACCAAATTCTCTATCAAAGACAATCTAAATTATACTGCAGTAACATCACCCCAAACTTCTCAAAACTTAACATGATGGTTATTTCTTACTCATGATAGTCCTGCAACACAGGCTGGCAAGGAGGGATGTACATTTCAGCACTTGTTTCTAAGATCCTTTGCGGGGAGGTAGGTGCATAGATATGGTGACTGGCGCACTGGCTTTTCAAGCCTCCCTATGGAATTAATTGACTTGTCATTTCTACTGATGTTTTGTTGGTGAAACAACTCACATGGTCAAATCTAATTTCAAATGCAGGCAAGTACATCCTGTTTTGTGCCCAGAAAAAGAAGTGGGTTGTCTGAGATCAGCCCCCTAACGGCTACTATGCAAGGCCATGAGTGGACCACAGCATCCACCATGCGCAAAGCCGTGTTACTAACATTATAGAAATGGCAGGGCTGAGAGCTTCCGGTTTTCACATTCATTCCTCTTGACCTTCAAATTAACACCTTCTCAAGATCTTTTCTTATTGCTTTTTCATTTTTTATAAACTAAAAAATATTGAAGTTAATAAGCTACAATGGATATAACAGTGCCACTACCACACAGGCCAGGAAGCTGTCACCAGGGGCTCACTCGCTCTGCTCCTTCCCAGTCCTCTGCCTGCCCCCTGTGGCAACTCTTTTCTGGTTTCTATGCATTTTTTTTTTTTTTTAACACACTCATTCAACCAGGCACTAGAACTTTAGTCCTGACGGATGGTGTTACAAATTTGAGCAGAAAAGCTGATCCTACTGAGCTTCCTGTCAAAAGATTGGCTTTTTTGGTAGAGTGCTTGCTTTGTATGCATAAGGCCATGGGTTCAATTCCCAGCAAAACACACACACACACACACACACACACACACACACACAAAAGACTGGCTTTTGTAGAAGGGGAGATTTTAGGCAGGTGTAATTGGGTGAACTCTCTGAACTCTTAGAGACTCAATTAATGACTATTGTCTTTATTTCTTGTTTATTTACACACATCCAACATTTCCTAATAGAGCAGAAGGGACCAGTCAGAAGAATCTCTTTGTTGCCAGACAAGTGGTACGTGAGGTCGACACCTGGTCTCTTATAACCAGTCTATACAGCCTGGAGTCACATGATAGTGCTGGCAGAACTGCCCGTCACAGTTCAGGTATGTCCTCTTGATAACCACCCTGTGGCTGAGTCCAGCCTTTTAAGACGGGGTAAACTGGTTCCTCGTGGGCTGGGGAATGGGAACCAAGTGTAAAACTTGTTATGGCTTAAGTAGAGGAGGAATAGGAGTATTTTTAAAGCAGCTTCCATTATATGAAATTTAGGGCTGTATTTCCATTCTCTTGCCTAATTGATCATCAAAAGTATTAGTGGAGAGGCAGCTGGTTTCCTAAAGGCTGACTCCTCTGCAGATACCCACTGCACCTGACATTCCTTACAAGGATGTACCCATTTAAAAATGGCCTTTTGCCTTTCAGCTTCTCTGCAGAATCCTTGTCTGAATTTAGGGTAGGTATCTCGGGGAGGCCATTACAAGTTCTGACTCTATCTTCATACTCAGAGTGGACTGGGACTTTTCAATTCTGCCCAGAGGAAATAGTGACCATAGTGGGAGGGAGCTGAGCCTGAGCAGCTCTGGGACCCTGTGGCTGAGTCCAGCCACATCCTTTTGTGGTAAGAATGTTCAACAAGATGCACTTTAAATATATATATTTTTAATAATCAGTTGGCCTTTAAATTATAGCCATACTGAATAAGAGCAGAGTAAACATGTGATTAGTAATTTCCTTAGGCAGAGAGTAGAATGAAATAGTTTCTGGCTAAGGCTCAGGGCTTAAAAAAATTTAGTAAAAAAGAAAATGGAAAATTGTCATCTCAAAGCCAAAGCAAGGGTTCATGGCCTTCTTCCTGAGCAGTAATGGCCCAGCTCCATGGGGAAGCAAAAGATCAAGTTGGAAAATACTTGAAGAGCTGCCTGTCTGCTCAGCTGCTGTCACGTTAGTACTGACTAAGCCTCACGTTCCTGTTGGCACAGAAAATGGTACCAGGGCAGTCATGTTTCCAGATGCAGAAGTGCCACTCAGAGTGGACAAATGACACAGACTGTGGTATCTCCATCAACAGCAGCAAGACAGGCTCTGAAACATCAAAGACAACATCTAGTGTTTCTGGTCTGGACAGAGCTCCCTCCACCCCACCCCAGTCTAGCCTGCCTGACTTGTTTGAAAAAGAACTTATGTAGATGTCTCATAATTTGGGGTTAAAAATCCTCAGTGAGGACGTAATGCCTGGATACGTGCTGATACAGATTCCCAGGTTACAGGGTCAGAATTCCCAGGGTGCAGCTGAAATGTGCATTTTCTACCACTCCTCAGGAAGCTCTCATGTAAGCTGTGAAGGCAAAGCTTAAGTAAAAGCATCATAAAAACAAAGGTGTATGGGGTAAAATTGGGAGTTCATAACCCACTTCAATCTAATGTATGAAATATGATATGTCAAGAGCTTTGTAATGTTGTGAACAACCAATAAAAATAAAAAAAAAATTAAAAAAACAAACAAACAAAAAAAAACAAAGGTGTTTCTATTTGCATCAGGGAACCTGAAAAAGTATCCACCAGGATTTAAAGGAAGGTTAGTTGCTCATTATTTCCTTTGAGGGGAAAAATAAGTTTTTCTTTATACAAGGATTGTCACATACTTGCAGTATGAAAAAGTCAGGGGTAAAACTGTTCTCGAGTACTGACAAATTACAGAAGTGGGCTCAATACTCATGTGTTGGGAGACTTGTGCTAGATAGCATGTTCCTGGTAAATGTCTCCAGTAGCAAATTATCTCCCCATGGTGAGAGGTCCAGTAGTCATTTCATAACAGTAACAGAATAAGTTGCCATTTATCACTTTAGCATCAAAGTCTCAAGGTCCCCATTGCTCCACTCCTGTTGTCTCAGGGTGGCTTCCAGCCTTCAGCTGCTCAGTTTCCAGAGCCAGGGTTTCTGGGAAATTGGCTCTCTGTAACCTCTTTGGCACAGGGCAGGACTCCTCCCACTTTTCTTGCCTAACTCGGCTGGAGACCTTGCCCCCAAGCCCCCTGTTACAAGTCCCTTTATGGAACTGTGTCTCAGCAACTCACAGCTGTACCACTGGGGATAATCAGGCTTGTGTAGGTAGAGTGCCAGGATCTCAAGATAAAGAGCATTTGAAGTGCCCATGTTGTGAGAGCAGACAAGGTCAGCCCCAGCCTGTGTTACTGAGAGGTTAGATATACATTGTACAAGACCTCACTCAAAGATAAAACAAGCACTCATTTTTCTTTTTTTAAAATTGAGCACCAGAAATCTAAAAGACGGCACACACAGGCGAGGGTTTTATCTCCTCAGCATTTAAAATATTAATACCTTTCTTTCTCAGATGGAACAAAGAAAATCCCCAGGATCACAAACCACCTGAGGTATAGTCCTCTTTGCTCAAAACGCATGTCAGGCCATTAAGGGGCAAACAAAACATGGCTCCTCTTCTCAAGCTTTAATTTAATGTGCCATTTGGGATCCCCAGGAACTTGGGCTTGAAAAACTACCTGATCCAATACTTAGCCTAAATCCTACAGCTAGCAGATCTACCATGGGCAGAAAAGAAGGGCTCGGTATTGGGAGAAGTTAATTACCCTGGCTCGGCCTGAATTGCCACCTCAGCTTTACATCTCTGCAGGTTCTTCTCTACAAGATGCAAAACATTGAAAAAAGGTCTGATTTCATGTCTCCTTTTTTGTCACTATCACAATCGAGTTAAGGATAATTGTACCTGAGAAGAGTCAGAGGTTCCCCGACTGATGAGATGTTTGTCTAATATATCAGCCTCATGACACGCAACTCAGGGATGGAGTCATTCGCACTCTGAGGACCCACCCACTAGGAGCCCAAGCCTAGCGGACAGTGCACTGCTCTCCTCTCGATCCATCTATCAGTTTGCTGCCACGGCTGTAAGTCAACAGATTCTGGGCAGACAGCTGTCAGATGAAGCAAGGACAAGGGCTTAATGAAATTTTATTTTGAAAATATGGCAAGAGTCTAAGGCACTTCAAACATTTAAATACATACAGGACTTTAAAGTAAATGTGACATGATATAAAGGAATCCATAAATAAATGGAGAACTACACTGTTTCTCTAGAGGCAAATACAGAGCCAATTCCTCTAACAATTCAACCTTTATCATTAGGTATAGACAGGGTTGTGCAATTGTTAAAAATGTGGTAGTGTTATATGTAATTCTTTTTAATTACTATGGAATATAAAAGTTGAAAATACTGTGTCAATTTTATAGTCATATATCTTTTTATATAAAAGTTATAATACATCCACCTAGATAAAACCCACCAAAAATGCTTCATGAGTTTTATATGGTTTGAGATTCCATCTTCTATTTTTAAACCAGAAGCTACCAGCCCAAGTTGCTGATGATCAAAGTCACCTTAACTTCCTTAACAAAACCACGCTGGAATGGAATTTTGGAAGCATTTTCCACAAATATATAACAATGAGAATTACACTTCTTTGAATTGTAGGAAGAAGGTGCCCTTTCAGATCAGGTTACCATATCCTAGAACTGTACATAACGGAGCAGAGACTCAACAGCCACTGAGATGGGGTTCAAGCACACCCCATGCAGGGGAAGTGGCCAAGCTGGCAATCCCCCATGGCTCTGCTTCCCCTAAGTGTCAGCCTTTAACCTGTGCCATATGCTTCTGTTTGCTGGTGAGCTCAGGCACAGAACATATACATTCAGTATCTGTCACCCCAACAGGAACAATTAGCAGCTTCATGGTAGCATGTAAATGGAAGGCTATTTCCAAATAATCAATCAAATGAGCCTCGGTGGGTAGGACCAGGAGAAGTCTTCCTTCCAAGTCTTGGGGTGCCCTAGAGAACAGGAAAGGGAAAAAATATTGGAGGTTAATAGATGACCTCAGACACTGTCCCCTGTGCCACTGGAATTTGGACCATCATAGCTGAAAACCACCCATGAGCTAAGAGTGCTGGCTGCAGATGTGAGATAGATGTTCACCAGGAGTAGGCCTTCTTCCAAGGTCAGTGAGGCTCAGTATGTCTAGCTGGGCTGGGACTTCAAGCTGCCCACTGATAGCTTCAGGAAGGTGACATGTATCCCTGGGTTAAACCACTTGGATAATTAGGCATAGAATCTTCCACATGAGACCCAGGTGTTTCCCAAGGAGTAGCCTCCACTACACCTCAGGTCTTGGGGATGGGATAGAAATGAATTTTTTAAGCATAAAACCCATGTTCCTTGTTAACTCCTGGAGGAAGGGGCCTGCTAGTCTGTGGATGTTAGCCTATTTCCAAATGCACACACTAACCGGAGACTGGGCTTTTGCAAAGTTGACATGGGCGTACAGAAGAACAGCGATGTCCTTGTGTCCCGCATCCAGGGCTATAGAGAGTGCAGTGCTGCCATCCTGAGGATGAAAGGTAAACAAGGAACCAGGTTGGGTTTCTCAAACCTTCACACAGCCCAAACTTACCATCACAATCCCCAGTAATGGATGAGGTCTCCATACCTAGCCATTGTTCAGTTCTTTAGAAACGTCAGTTGGATCTCTAAGTGTTGAGGCCCTAGGATGTGAATGAGGAGACTCATTCCCCTGGCTTGTATCAGTGTTCAGCACAGAGGCCTGTCTACCAGGGATCCTTAAAAACTGCAGGCTGCCCATGAACAACTCCTATTTAATCATTCGGCCCACCAGAAGAGGGCAGTAGGACAGAATGGGGGGTCTACCCATGGTTGAAGTTTCTTTGCTGAAAATTACAAATGACCATCCAAGTACCATGAGGTACCTGGACATTTTCTAAACTTTCCTCTTGGGGAGGAAGATATTGGTCTAAAATCCTGACCACCTCTACGGAATGCTGCATGTCACATCCATGTGTAAGCAAGCATTCAAACCCGGGGACTTGTGAATCTTCTGGAAGTACCAGGGAAACATGTACATATGGCAAAAAAAAAAAAAAATTTCAGTTAACACCTTGATTTATATTAAATTGCAGAGATTTCGATGGAGCAGCAAGGCAGAGAGCAACCCCAGCTGTTCTGTCTAGTCTTAAATTAAAAGGACTTGGGTCTCATGAGCAGCAGGAAACAATTTTACGTGGTTGAGAATCTTGGGGTTGTTCCCTCCCACACTGTGACTGTTGGGACCTGCTTTTCTTCTGGAGGCCAGCTGGATGTTCTACTCAGTTATAGATAAGGAAGTGGGTAACTGGTTGGGGTGGTCAGAATTTCTGGAATTCCCTGTGGCTCTATGGCATGTTATTACTAATCTAAAAGCTGCTCTTTGCAGAAAGTTAAAAGCCAATAAACAAAACACATGTAACAGAGTCTCGACGAATGGTAAGTTGGCAACTAATTCCTCTAGGGGGGACTGAGGGCACCTGGTATCTCAAGTGTTCTCTGGTGGAGGTAGCTGAAGGCAGAAGCTCATCAGGCCACAGAGCAGTAAAAAGCCTCTGCCAGTTTGCTCTTTCAGCTAAGCAAAATGGCACTGGCTTGAGCCCAGTGCTATTTGAAATTTATTGCAAAGGGGGATGTTTTCTCCTCTTAACTTTTTGGTGTTTTGAGTTAAAGGAAGCTCTGGTTCAAACCTCTGTGACCCTTGGCTTGTTTTACTGCCCACAGGCTAGTTAAGTGCCTTCTATCAGTGCTCCTCCCCTTGGACCTGGATAACATACCCCAGAAGCATCCCCTGGCCTTACAGGGTTATCTGTGCATGGAAACAACTTGGGAAATGTGCAAAGCAGCCATACCTTATGAGATGTCCTAAGTTACTCATTTTAATGGGCCACAGTATATTACCTGTTTGTATTTCATTTGGGTAAGGAAAGTGTTTGCCCAAGGGAAAAGGAACTGGTTTTAGTCACAAATGACCCAGCTTCTACTAAGAATCCCCTTTTCTAGATAAAACTTCTCAGAAGTTGCCTACACTGAATTTATTTTCCTTTAGCATATGGGTCCTCACACATGCCCACAAATCACCTTTTATAAATTTTGGGGTGAAGCCTCTTTGTCTTTCTGCCCTTGCCTTTAGTTAATGGGAGCATTAGTCTGCACACAGCTGCCAAGCTGAGCTACAACGTGGGGGACCTGGATGTCAACACTGATCCCTGAGAACAGCAGAGGATGTGTGTGCCACTGGCCCAGTGGAAGCAGCTTACATTGTCCTGTAGGTGGCCATTGCACCCAGGCTGGGCTAGCAGCAGCTTGACGATCTCCACGTGTCCATGCTCGCTGGCACACATCAGGGCTGTGGAGCCCTCATCATCCTGAATGTTGACGTCAGCTCCACAGGCCAGCAGGCCCTTTACCATGTCTATCCGCCCGTGACTGACTGCCAGCATAAGGGCTGTCTGCCCTGCCTGAGGGGAGAAATGACAATTGGACTTCAGAAGTGCAGAATGAGCTGCTAGGGAAGTGACTGGTGGTGGGGGGGGGGAGGGGAGACAGAACAGCATGAAGACAAAGCATTGTGTATGTAATTACTTAGGGCAAGGTGGCAGGCATGGACCTACTAGTTTCTTGCAAGCTAGGAGATAAGGTAGGTTAAAGTAAGGAGTCAACTTTTCACTAGCTCTGTCTCAGCATAGCTGGAAAGTTCAGATGATGTTTAAAAGTCAAGCCATGAATACATCTGGACTTGGGACTCTAACGTGGCATGAAGACAGGAAGGAGTAGGTATTGGGTATATGATAAGGACTCCTAGTCATTTAAGAAGCCAGGCTTGCACAGTTTCTGTGCAAGTTTCAAACTCTGCAGACAGGGAAGGCCAGGCAAAGGAGGGAGAGGTTTCCAGTGTGAAACTGAAGTCCATGTGAACTGGTGTGTTTGGTAAGCAAGGACACAGAGCTGGAAGTGGGCCATAGCAGATCTGCTGAGGCCAGTTCAAGCAACCATTAACAAGTAAGTGCACTGACCTGACTGGCCTTGGCATTCACGTCCCCGCAGCCAAAGAGTTCTTCTACAACCTGCATGTCTTTTTCGGCCTCCACAGCTGCAAGGGCTGCCAGCATGATGGGAGTGTACCCTGCCTTGTTCTGGTGATCCACATTACACACGTCTGTAAGAAATGAGTCTCTTTAGCGGGGAGCCATCTCCTAACAGCAGATGTTCTTGTGAATTGAAGGAATGGTATGTAAAAGAACTCAGTGGAAGGGCACCAAGTGCTCAAAGACTAAGTGACTCACAAGGAAACTTAGGATGTTTTTATGCCAAACAAAAAATGTTTACCCTCTCACAAGGCCTGCAGCAACAGAAATGACAGTGAGCATCTATGGAACACCTTGCTTGCTACTGATGATTGAACTACAGCAGCCTACAGGTCTGTCTGAGGTATTTCTAAGGAACGGTTGCTCTGGAGAAGAAGCACTCATGTGGGATCTAGACATTTAGGAACTTGAGAGGAGGATACAGAAAGCTGAGGGTTTGCAAAGGTTGAGCACAGAGCTCTGAATATGGTGTTGCCCAATTACCCAGCACTACTCAGCTCTGCAGCCCTCAATTTACTACTGCTCTTACAGGTGCCTAAACACAGAACTTCAATTACCAAACTCTGGTACTTGTGGTTTGAGCAATAACAATGTAGAAGTCCTCTAAGAAACTGCCAGGCACTAAGACCTGATGAGCTAGAAACTCTTCTAAATTATCCTTCAGGCATTTAAAAGTTCCTTTAGCATGTTCTAATCAAACGACAAGATGACGGTGATTGCTGGAAAGCAGCTTTTGTGTGTGACCAAGTGTCTAGTATGGGTGTATCAGAAAGGGGCAAGAAGAGATGGTACCAAGAAAACTTGCCTCGAGGTCCCAATCAAGTGCACACAAGGACATAATGGCATTTACAAAAGTGCATCTTATGTGGAAAAAGAAAAGGCTGTGTGGTGGAGGAGCTAGGAGCATGTGTGCTCTCAAGGGTCCCCAGGATCTTGAGCATTCCACAGTCACACTTGATGGAGCCAGAATCTCAGCCCATAATGGTGAGTAACAAAAATTAAAAGTGATTCAACCAAAAAATTTAAAATCATTTCATTTTTCAACATACTTTCTACCATTTCAAAGATATATAAAATTGTACCTTTCTGGAGCAATCCTGAAGTAAATCCTTTTCAGCTTCCCTGGATATTGTCCACTACTATTTTAATAGGAGCTGACATTATCACTAGCTCTGTTTATAGTCTGGAAAGTCTAAAGAGACAAGGCCTGAAATTCCTCCCTGTCAGCTGGAAGCAGTTCTACCCTAATATGGGAACTAAAATAGGGAATAATTCAACTGAGAAAGGCTAAAAAGATAAAATCTGCTTGGATTTCTCTTCTGCATTAATTTAACATTCCCCAAACAGAAGAAAATATCAGGCCATTGGACAAGATATTTTCTTGTCCAAAAACTGGACAGTTGCATTATATCTTCTAAATCAGGTATTGACATTATGTCCATTAATTAAACTGAAATCAGTTATGTACCACTGAAATACACCACTTAAGTCAATCTCAAGTACTGCTCTTACTTCATATTGAATGCATTTGTGGGCTGTATTCTAGAATGGCAAATAATTTTCCACTATCCTCATTAATCTGGTTCAGATAGAAGAATATCACTTCCTTTGATTTATGTTGATTCCTCAATGGTACATTTGGGTAAGACAGTGATTGGACTGTGGCTTTGCTCATCTTGAATACCCACTCTCTTTGCAAGGCCATTGGTCAGTGGTTGGTGTACAAGGACAAGCCAAGTGGGCCACAGGCACAAGAGCTCTGACTGGGCTCCTGAGCAGCAGCCTGCCTCTTGAGAACAAACCAGCCAAGCCTGCGTGATTCAGTGCAGGCACCAGGGCTGCACCTCACCTGAATGTAGCCGAGCTGCAGCCAGAACAGAGCTGGAAGCTGTGTTGTCCAATTTTGTTTAAACTTCAGCCTCCCCTGCCTGACAACATTACTCTTGCCCCAACATGTGGAAAAACAAAGGATCTTGGGATGATCAAAGAATCCACGAGTAAACCAACCTGCTCTTTTGAGTCACAACCCTGAGTGCCGTGACAAACAAGACGAGGGGTGGCCACGGTACCTGCGTCCAATAGCAGCTTGACGATTTCAAAGTTGGAGTGGGACACGCTGTAGTGGAGGGCTGTGTTGCCATTGCCATCAGCCATGTTGATGATGTAGCGGAGCACGTCTGGGGAGACGGCCTCAAATGCAGCTATGTAGTCCCCTACCATGGCTGGTACGGCTGACTTCTGACTGGACACACGGAACCACTCGTGCTGGAGGGTATTCAGACAGAACCTCTGCCAACAGACCATGCTGCCATTAGTTCTATTTTTAGGCTTTTCTGAGATGTAGCTGAGAGCCCAAGTTACCAGCCTTTTATAGTCAAAGTGCATGCAATTAGAATCAGCTCCCAAAACAGAGTCCAAGAACAGCCTTGAACACCAGGCTGGAACATTCCTCCAGATTTTAAGCTGTTCACAGTATTACATTCTAATTTCCATAAGAGGTTGTACAGCATTGTTAAGAGCGATGGGGCTGGAGCAACACCCTCTCTCCCCTGGGTTCCTTCATGAGGAGCAAATCTCCAAAATTATCCTGGGGAAGTTACTTATTCTGCATCTGTTTCCTTGCCTGGAAACTGGAGATATCTTCTCTTTACCGTGTTTGTGATGAAGATAAAATGCTTAAGCCTGGCCTTACTTATGAGATAATAGTTTGGAATTATAGTGGCCTTGCAAATGATTTTCAAAGAAATCAGGAAGACATTAATTAGCCCACTTATAATTACACTGCTTCCTTCCAAGCCAGACCAACTGCAACTCTCACAGCTCCTCCATAACTCTAGGCTAGAAGCCCATCAATTTTGACTCTAATCCCAAATGCAAATGTTCAGCCATTTTGTTATAAGAACAAAAATAAATCTGGAAGAAATTGCATTTTTCTTTAAGTCAACTGCATGGGAAGACCTTAGACCATGACATACAACTGCGGGGCTGGCTTCACGTTCAACTTGGGCATGAATTGGGTAAGAGCCGCTAAATTCGAGGTTAGCCTGGGTAACTTAGCAAGAACCTACATCAAAAAATGAATAGATGAAGCTCAGAGGTAGAGCACTCCTGGGTTCAACAAAAAATGGTCTGGGGAGTAAAAAAAATTTTCCTTTTCTACAAATCTATAACATTCAAATTTCTTTGGACTCATCACACAGAAAGAAGGGCTATTATGTCTGCTGGCTGTCCTAAATTTATTACTGCTAAAATTGGTGTCCTGACAGGATTGTGATCACTCATATGTCCACAACTTCACACAATCCAAAAGTAACATTTTTACAGTGAAAGAAAGTTCAACAAAATATATGGATCACAGTCTATGACACCACGCTCAGCAATTTGGGAGATGCAGAAATGTGAGGTATTTCAGACAGCATATAACCTCATACCCTAACAACAGTAAAAGAAAAAACTTACGGCTATAAAATTTGGGGTCCTAAAGCATCTATTTTAAAGTCAGGCTAAACCTGATGGGATATTTGACACTGTAGTGACTGTTCATGGCTTTACTGTCTGACTGAGGCATGGTCTCGTACTAATGAGTTTCAGTGTGAAATTCTATGTAACCCTTTGACCAGGAAATTTATGCATTTCCTTTTGAATGTCACAGCCACGTTCCTTTCTCAGCCCACTAACCAGAAATAAAGGCTTAGCTGGCTCTGATAAATTTAAGTTTATATGGCAATATAAATAAATGACACCTGAAGTTAAACAAAAAAGTGCCACATAAGGTCATATGATTTAATTAGAATAAGCAAAACACAAACCCAAAGTCAATATACATCTGATCTATTCCCAGCACTACTAACATAATCAAGTAGCTGCTGCTCCAGGTAAGTCAATCTTCAGGCCCTCAGTGAAGGGGGTGCTGAACTAGACTAGAGCACCTCATGGGCAGGTGCAACAGGTACTTCTGCCAGCCACTGCAGATTTTTAACAGTGCGATGGAGCTACAGGATTCCAATTATGTTTGTCATGTAAGAGGAAAACTATCTAGGATTAGATAATTCCTTAGGTCCCTTCTACCATTCTGACTTCATAACTGAGAGCCTTATAAATCAGCTTTTCCACCTGCTGCTGCTGCTTTCAGTTATTTAGCATTAAACATCAGTAATGTTTCAGATGTACATTATTATCTGAACACCAGAAACCACCTTTTCTCAATGCACTAAAGATGGAGCTATAAACTGGAGTGTGGTTCTAGCCTAGGAAGGATGCTACACAGCCAAAACCCTTGGTGCATGAAATGGTGACGTGCTTGGCAATAGTATCATACTAATCATCAAAGAAATATTTGTGTGTCCTATGTTGTATCTGTTCACGATCACTAAGGCAACCACAACCTTTTTGCTTCTGAATCTTTCAAACTGAAATGATAAGTGCACATTATTTTTTGTTTTAAAAAAGTGGTTGCCTACATTCCAAGTCAGAACACAATATGTAGTTTCATAACTGAAAGGAATGCTAACCTCAGCCCAGATAGCATAGGTTTCCTTTAAAAAAATAAACCAACTTAAAAATAATTCTGGGATGCTGTTCCTTCAATCAGAAGGTTCTGTGAACAAAGGAAACAAAGATGATTGCCTGCAATTAGCTCTCCCTTCTATCTGCAAGTCTGTGCTTCACAGATGCCTCCACCCCAAGAAAGTACAGGGTGGGTAGAGGACATCCAAAGTTGGGACTCAGGAAATAGTGTGCTCCTGGGAGCTGGACAGCACAATGCTCACTCCTGCTAGAAATAGTTCAAGGAGAAGCCTGCATGCAACAGCAGCTCTAGGGCAGGCTGCTGATAACCCTGGCAGCGGTGCCACTTGGGCACTCTGTACAGACTGAAGACAGTGCCTGTGGGTCAGACTCACCATATCTTTGCTGGTCAAAGCTTTGGGATCATTTATGTTATTTTTCAGTAAGTTGCATGCAGACAACATCTTTTCACTCAATTCATACCTAAAAGGGGGGGAAATAAAGATAGCTCAGGAATGACCAGAAAGGGAAAGTCATTTTTTATCTTGAACCTACTAACCCTTTCACAGACGAGTGGCCCTAAGCCATCCTGAGCAGGTTGTGATGGTTGGAGGTACCTCTAGGCATCTAAGATTGATATTATCATATAAGCCAACATCTCTAGCCAGAGTTCAAGGTCTCCTTGTGAAAGCAGCTTCTAGGTAGACTAGTTGGGTCTTCTTGACATTATGGAGTAACATTTGGAGATATTTTTAATCCTTAAAGGCTTGAAGAAGCTTAAATTACCACATCTGGTAACTCAGAATTGTTTGTTCAACCCATACAAAAATTTACACATCAGATGACATATGGTAAACAGTTTATATCTCAACAGAGTTGTATTTTTAAAAAAAACAGATGACATTTATTTCAAGCCATTTGAAAAGCACTTACCTTGTGTTAATGCAGTTAGCTATCATTTTCAAATTAAAGTTTTCTAAAATGTTTATATTTCACAGAAGGAAAAACCATATTGAGGTACCTATCTTCTCTATTCTGTCCTGTTTTATGAGCATCAAATCCATAATTACTAATTGTCTTTAAAACTGAATTTTTATGTACATTTTTGGGCCAACCAGAGTTTCTGATCTATTATTTCATCTGCTATTTATTGATATCACCAAATCCATTGTTATGTTCCTGATCACTCAAAGAGCAGTGTAACAGATACTTATTATCTTTACAGTAAATGGGATATTTGGTTGAGGCCAAGTACATGATATGATCCTCATCACACAATGGTAATAACAGTAATGATACTTGCATCAAGATAAATGACTAAAGACAAAATTTAAAAGTGTGCTAGTCAGCAAAAATTTCAAAGCTGTCTTTAAATGTGAGGTATTCAAATAATGGAAGCTGTAGTGGCTAGTGGTTCCATGTGTAAAATTAGACAGCAAAGAGTTCTGAATTCAAAGGAGATGAGCTACCAAACCATTCTCTTTGCTATCCTAAGGGATCTAGGAGTTACCATATGTAGTACTTATTTTATTAGAAGTATGTACATCTGTTCAAGATGCTAAGAAATAGATCAAACAAATATATATAATCTCAAAAATCTGAATCAGCTAATTCTATTGACGAAATACACTAACATGGGAGAGGGGAGGGGAGGGGAATGTACCACACCTCTCTCTGATTTCCACCTTCTCAGGTTCACATTCTTGAACCTGCATTTCATCGTCCACCCTGGTAGACTTGAAACCTTCAATATTAACAGCATGGTGCCCTTCTGCCATTCCCCGAGTGTCGTCTTCCTCCTCTTCCTCCTCCTCTTCTTCAGGAGGATACTCAATGACATCACACTCATCATCTGACTCGGAAGAAGAGCTTTCATCTGAGCTGGAATCATCACTTGAAGTTGTTTCATACCTAGGTGGCAATTGGGATTTCAGGAGATGCAAGGTGTGCCCAATAAAGACCCAGTGACAGAAATTTCTATGAGGGCAAACCTGCTGATTGGCTGCAGAAATTTCATCAGTGGCCAGGTGGGTTTTGAATGGGTTCTGACTTAAAAGGGCCAACTTTTTACACTCCTTGTTAAAAGAACAACATGGGACTTCTAGCTTAGTACAAATTGAGATCTGCAGTTGCACATTATTTATCTTCTCCATTCATCCTATTTTGCCCCATTCAATCTCCCAGTGTCAAAAGATCACATAAGTAACCAATAGTCTTCTGATACATGTCCTCCAAAATCTCCTGGGACATATTGTGCCAAATATAACTTAGAAGATTTGGAAAACAGGTACCATCATGTCAACCCTGGTGATTCACTTTCCTATAAATATTAACTCTGCACCATTGCTTTCTTGTTGGTCTATCAGCCAATTGTTTAGGCTCAATTGTAGGAAGATGAAGAACCTTAACTATTTATCTGAGCCAACTAGAAGAGAAAGAACAACTAATAAACGTTCTATTCAGAAAGCAAAGAACTGATGGCATGACTAGGTTGCTCTTCAGGTGAAAGGCCCCATGGTTTTGTTCATGAACATGGGTTGCTATGCAACCTATGCTGAAGGAGTGAATGACAGTCACTGGCCCAGGGAGTGATGCGCTCGACCTCTTTCTGCTCCTTTCTGAGTTCTAGCACAGGTAAGTACCAGCTGTCCAACACAGTGCAACCACCTTGGTGCCTGCTGCTTTTGGTTGAAGACCCTTTTTTTATTTTCCAGATAAAAGATGAGATGTCAATTGCTCAGCTTCATCAGGTGTCCTTAAAAGAGTGATATATCCTTAAAGAAAGCAAGAGGAGGGGAGAAGAGAAGCCCAAATGCACCTTTCTGAGAAGGGAATCTTCCATCACCAAGATGTAGCAGCATCCCAGACTAGGTACCTTGAAATGGGATTTAAACAGGAGGCAAAAGAGACAGATTCAGATGATGCTGAGCTATAGGACCGCCATCTTTCCTTACCCTCCGTTAATGCCGACAAACTGAAGATTCTTTTTTGCACCATTGGAATCTTTGTTCCCATCTTTCTTCTTCATGATGGACTTCAGCGTATTTTCGTTATTTGTACATACTATAAAAAAGTGAATTGAGGTGATCAAAAATAACATAACTTGAATTCACATCAATTCCACTGGAAAAGTATGTGCATGCAAAGACAATAACTCAAAGTTCCATTAAAAATGTCCTTTAAACGGGGAGGGGGGGGGACGGGACTATTAGTACTTTGAGCCATCACAAAATAGTGACAACTGGGCATTTCTATCAGGCTCATTTTTGCTTTGATAATCTTAAAGACTAGGCCTTCTTTCCAACCATCTGCATGATCTTTTCTTCCAGGTCAACTTGTAAGGTACAGTGTCATTCAGTTGGAATGTTCCTAGAGACCTGATGTCAAGGCCCCTGAGAAGACTCACCATACAGGCCTGCGGCTATCTGGTCATCTGTCAGGTTCACCAGGGCTGGTACACTTTCCTGGGAAGGGAAGCCATCCTGGCTGTTCTTGGGCTTTCCTTCTGTGGTCCCCAGTTCTTGGACAGGCCAGGATAACTGTGTGCTTAATAGCCCTCCTGACTGAAGGCCTCCACACTTACAGGTATAATCCAAATTATTTCCTGTCAGGAAAGAGAAGGGAGTGGATGAAAGGGACTTAATTTTTGTTGTTGTTGTTGTTTAAAAAGGTTCTTGCAACTTGGTCTTTTCAAAAGTGTTTTCCTGCTGTGTTTTACTTTCGAGTAAATGGGAATACCACCTAAGCCACTTAAACTCAAATCTCCAAGTCCTCCTTTGACCCAATCTTTCCTTTATTATCACATCTAGATATGCTGAGCTATGTTACTAGAGATCCACAGCACCTCCTCTTTTCTCTCTGCTCTGGCTGTTGCAATCCTTGCTTCTGGGTGACTAGAGCAGCATCCTGCTGGCCCCTCTTGCACAGCTATTCCCAGGTCACACTGATGCAGAGCAATACCCAACCCAGCTGTGATGCTGTCATTAGTCGAGCTAAAACAAAACCTGACGCAACCTAAGAAGCAACCCCTTTGAAAAGAAAGTGTAGTCCACACCACCTGGACATGCACATCAATAATTTTTTTTTTGGGGGGGTGGGTACTGGGGATTGAAACCAGGGACACTTTTACCATTGAGCCACATCCCTGGTTCTTTTTATTTTGAGGTGGGTTCTCACTAAGTTGCTTAGAGCCTTTGCTAAATTGCTGAGGCTAGTCTCAAACTTGCCATTCTCCTGCCCCAGCCTCCTGAGTCACTGATCCTAGCCAGAAACTCTAAACTACCCATAATCTGGTATCTCAATTCCCACTGCTCTGTCTGGAGGGAGGGCGTTTCTCACCTCCTCATGGCTACCATAGCTTACTCTCTTCCACCTGGAAAGCCCTTCTTCCCACCTCCACTTGGCCAGCCGCTCCCATCATGCCCTCTTCAGGGCCTTCTCTGATCTCCCTCACTGAAAACAGCTCTCCTTTCTCTGAGCTCTCTCAGTTCATCTTCCAATCCTTTTCTGGGACCTTCATACCAAGTACAAGATGCTTCTTGTGACCGTCTTAGATTTCCTTCTGGACTTAAATGTTTTAAGGGCATGAACTATTACTGACCAACTTTCCATTGATTGGTGTGGATTTTAAGTCCTTAAATCCATAGGTTCTTCTATTTAAACATGGCTTTTAAATTAGAGGCTGGGGACACAGTTCAGTGATAGAACATTTATCTGTATATGTAAGGCTCTGGGTTTGATCCCCAGCATTGCAACAAGGATATGCACATGTGTGTGTGCATACTCATATACAAATATATACACTATAAGTGTACTATGTTTTGTTGTGGTAATAGTTTATATAAAACAAAATTTAAGCATACAGTTTGATGAGTTTTGTAAATGTACATGCCTGTGTAACCACGTAAGATATAAAACATTCCTAACAACCTAGTAAACCCCTCTCTCATCAACCTTTTGCAGATAATTTATCCACCCTGAGGTGCCAAATGCCCTAATTTCTCTCACCATAACTTGGTTTCGTAAGTTGGGACCTCTTAAAGCTTCTGTAATCATGGCCAAGCCCCTCAGGCGAGAATGTGCAGCTCCTTCATCTGCCAGTGGAAGCTGCACTGCTCAACCACGCCTACCCTGCATGTGCCCAGGGTGGTCTTGTGACTTCATTGCCCAGGACTCTTTCCTAAGCAGACTGTTCACCAGGCCTGGATTTTAGTACCCTTCACCAGTTAAATTCTACCCATGTTCTTTTTAAGGCCTATCCCAAATTCTATTTCCTCTATGGTCATTTTTCTTTCTTTCTTTTTAATAAATGGAACAAATCAGTATTTACTGATAAAGAAGTAATATACTATATAAGGGCTCATAACAAATTAATACGGTTGATATTAACACTATATCATTTTTCTAGGATATGATTCCAGAGACGGCTTTTTTTCCAACATTGCCCTGTGTAGCACCTACTGTGCAGACTAAAATATGCTCTGCCCTATTTCTTGGCTTCACGAGTATGCCCTCCAAGAGGTGGTGGTAAGCTTGAGCCCCTTTGAGCTGGGTTTTAATCTGTCCGCTCCAGTGCCTGGGACAGTGTTTAACAATAGGAGGGCTTTCACAAGTGCCCATGAATTCAACTAGAAGAGAGTCTGTTTGAGACTAACAGGTTAAGGCCAGAACATCGTTAAACATTAAGCTAGTTCTCATTTGTCAAGGGAATCTGCTACCCTGCATTGCCAGAAAATCTTTTCACTCCGGCTGGACTTGAGTGGCTCTTACCCAATTCTCTGAGCTTGTCTGCATGGCTTGGATGGACATTTACGTAGCATGGCAATTCACTGCCCTGTTCAAGCAAAGTGAAGGTCAGGTGCAGTCAAGAAAGCCAGGGATGAAGAGGTTAACTACAAAATCCAGCAGTCCTAATCTGGCTGCCTCTTAGGGTCTCCTGAACTAGGGGTGGGGCTTTTTTTATTTTTAAGTTGTAGATGGACACAATACCTTTGCTTTATTAATTTATTTTTATGTGGTGCTGAGGATCGAACCCAGTACCAGGCAAGTGCTCCACTATCAAGCTACAACCCCAGCCCGGGGTAGGTCTATACAATGCACTATCTGCAGGTGGCCAGGCTTCAGTACTTTTAACCTCTCCCTAGGTGATTCTGTCATGCACTCAGGATTAAGAATTACTGAATTAAATTAACCAAAATAGAACATGCCCTGAAAACAAGAGTGTAGACTCCTCTCTGGTCTCAACTCATCAACTTGGACCCACGTGAATTCTCAGGAATTGGTGGAGGTTTTATTAACAACCGTGGATCATTGGTGCTAGAAAACCCTGGTGAACATGGAATACTACCGAAACAAGAGCAATGAAACAAAAGAACTAATTATAAACACTCTCAGAATTCTGGCCCTCTGACCTAGATGATCAAGATTCCCACCAGGTAACAGCTATTTCCAAAGTCACAACTGGGGAGTTAGAAAAGAGGGGAGTAGAAACCCCATAATGAAAAATTTACTTCACAATGTCCTGAACTTTAAGAATGTTAGAAGGAAGGAAGGAAGCAAGCAAACAAAACCCTGACACAGTGAAAACTAGAGCTGGGAGAGTCTTACAGACATCTTCTTCTCCAGTCTGCTGTGATATTTATCCATCTAGAATGGATATTAGTTGATGAAATACACCAAACTTGTTAGGAAATTAATTTTAGAAATGTATTAAAATGGATTTTAAGTATCTCTGTTGACAGATGTTAACTTTTCTGACATGAATCCATATTTTTATTTATAATGTCAAGTGCTTTCTGAAAACAACTCTGAATCATTTGACCATCTAATTAACCATGTTGCGTAGCAAACTTCTCAGCTAGGCCTTCCAACTGGATGCCTAGCTTATTTGTCAAGAAGGACTGAAATTTTGAATTCCTTACGGAAGTGAGTAAATTATTTAGTAAATTATTGTTTCCCCAAAGTATAAGAATTCAAAGGAATCTGAGATAGCTCTAGTTTTCCATGAAAAGGGTTCAGCACGAATTCACACTTTTCAGCCCAAACATTTGAGGGACAAACAGCAGAGATTCTTCATGAAGGACCACCTTCTATCTTGATGTATATTATTTTTTCAGGGAAATGTAGAAGACGTTTAGCAGAAGACAAAGGTCAATCCCTTTCTGTTTCCAAGCTCTCCTCTCAGGACTCTGCTTGAAGGTCACAAACAGCCAATTCAAACTGGAGATAGGAAACTTACGTAGTCAGAGCTGCTGTTTAACCATTTCTAGGTCCATTTCGATATTTTCATGGGAACATATCAAACAGCTGCCATCAAAAAGTGGCTACTCATTTAGAAATTAAAATGCCAGAGTGGATTAAGAATCAAATTCTCCCTCACCACAACCCCACCCACATGTAATTAAACCCCATTCTAAGACTGGACCCAAAAAACCTGACAGGCTGCATTGCTGAGTTTAAATGTGCTCTGTATTCCTCCCAATAGTGCTAAGGCTTCCTCCTCCTCAGACCTCTGAGACCTTGATGGCAACCGAACCCTGAGCACTTTCTATTTGCATAGTATTTGGTACCTGATAGATGTTGCTACAGGTGATCATTCACATTTTGGGGGCTGTCCTGGCTTCTCAACTGGATGGCAGGTTTTTCAAGGTACATCTTTATATCTCTTTGTTGCAGTACCACATTTTGCATATACTTGACATTCAATTGATACTGATAGGGACAATGCAGACTTAAAAGTCTTTACTGAAATATGCTACTCAGAAAAACAAACAGCTATGGCCATCTTCCAATACCAGTTACATTTGTCATTTTGACTGGACACTCTTGAACTCCAACTCATTGCCGTACTTGACAATTACTAATGTCCATGCTTTAGCCCAACATGAACTGAATACGTTGGATTCATTCATTGTGAAATTGTCAAACCTGCATCTTTCTCCAGAGCACATTTGTATTTCACTAATATCCATTTTAAATGATTAGTTTAAGAGTTTCCAAACAAGTGTCAACTCAAGGCTCATAGAGGTGATGAGCAGATTAAATCTTTGGAAGATCTTTTCCTCAAGACTAGGGTGTCCCCCCCCCCCCAAGGTCTCTAACAGGTGACTTCGATCTTGCAGAAGGTCAACTATCCCTTTTGAGTATCTAAAGAAAATTATGCATTGTCTTCATGAAAAGCCCAAATGTAAAACTATGTGTGGACTGGGGATGTGACTCACTGGTGGAGCCTAGCACGCATGAGGCTCTGGGTTCAATCCCTAGTACCACAGAAACAAACAGTAAAACTGTTCATGAAGCTGTGGGCTCTGTTCTAAGGTCATTTTATTCCAACATTTCCCTGAAATTGGATCTGGGGTACCTACTGGGTGGTAGCAGGAGACCCATGTGTTTTAGGAAAGTTTCTTCAACTGAATCTGATGGTTAGCCTTATGAAGGCATACTTTTATGGAAAAATTCTGCCAGATGTGACGACCTACACCTTAAATCCCATATACTTGGGAGGCTGAGGCAGGAGGATCACAAGTTCGAGGTTAGCCTGGTCAACCTGGCAAGATCCTGTTTTAAAATAAAAGGTAAAAAGGGCTAGGGATGTAGCTCAGTGGT